TTCTGTAAGGAACTCTCGTGAGGGTTTGGACCAAGATCACAACACAACAGACTGACGATAAATAATAAGTGTTTATTGTTTCTAGGAGGGAAGTGACAGCTGGTCTCGGTGCTGGTCTGGGTTCTGGTTCTGGTGTCGGTTAACGGCAGGAGCAATCTAAGAAGCAGAGAACGGTTAGTGGTCGTGCTGATTACCAGAACGTGGAAAATAGTCAATAAGGAAAAACCACTAACCGTCTCAGATGATCTCAAGGGTCCTGAAAGGTGGAAGTGTCCAGATCTGCAGCTGCTGGAAGGGCTGAGTCCGGTGAAGGACGACAGTCGGCCGCAGCTGTCTGTGTGTCCAGAGTCCGTGATCCAAAAGGGGAGGTCAGGCTTTCCAAGGTCCAGTAACGAGAAGCAGATGTCAGGCAGTACCAGAGGAGCAGGCAGATCGGTGGTCGGGCAGGCGTGGGTCGGTACCAAGAGCAGATGCAGAAACAAATCCAAAAGGGCAATCCAAAGAGACGTGGTCGAGGCAGGCAGAGGGTCAAGGAACCAAGAGATCAGGCCAAACAAGAAGGGGAGGACAACCAGAAAGAGGGACAGGTAGCGTGGAGGGCAAGACAAGGAGTGAGGACTTGAACAGGGACAAGAGAGGGCAACAAGGACTACAGGCATGAACGCGAGATATTTACTGACTACTAAGAGTGTTCAACTATCGGGCACCGAAGAGTTGACAGGTTGCTGCTTATAAAGGGTGGAGAGAACAGGTGCAGCCAGTCAGAGATAATCAGGCCAGCTGGCTGCAGTGCAGACAATTAGTGCAGTCAGCCTTCACCAACATGCAGAGTGGACAGACTGGTTCTCCACATACACACACACATGAGAACCAGGTAGAAGGAGATAAGGAGTGAGAATGAAAAGGGCAGAACAGAACTGAGAAACCAGAGCTAGTGAACAGAGTGATAAAGATCTAAATACAAGGACGTGATTCATGACATCATTCAGTGTTTTTCCTCAGTGTAGAAATCACACAGTACTAATTTGCTTGCGTATGTTTGTGTCTTAAAGATCTTACTGACAGAACCCCCCATGAACCCCACAAAGAACCGCGAAAAAATAGCCGAGGTCATGTTTGAAAAGTATCAGTTCCATGGCATCTATGTGGCGATTCAGGCTGTGCTCACTCTGTACGCCCAGGGTAAGGAACATCATTGCCCCGCCATGAAACTCACCCACCAAATGACTCTGTAGCTCATTTGTTAGTGTGGTTTGAGGCATCAGCACCACGTTCTGTCAGTATTCTGTTGATCAGTGAGCAGACTCACTGGAGAAATGCTTCTATACCTACAGGTTTGCTCACGGGTGTGGTTGTGGACTCAGGAGACGGTGTCACCCACATCTGTCCGGTTTACGAGGGCTTTTCGTTACCACACCTCACTCGCAGGCTGGACATCGCAGGACGTGACATCACTCGCTACCTGATTAAAGTGAGCTAAGAAAACGTTAGCGTCAAACCAGAAAGGCTACAAAGACTTTTTTCAAAAAAGTTACTGATGTAGGAAGTCCTTTTGCATCTTCCTGTCAGCTCCTGCTGCTGCGCGGATACGCCTTCAACCACACGGCTGACTTTGAGACTGTGCGACTACTGAAGGAGAGTCTCTGCTACGTGGGATACAACATTGAGCAGGAGCAGCGTCTGGCCACAGAGACCACCTTCCTGGTTGAGTCCTACATGGTACGTTTCAGAGCAGCAGTATTAAATAGCTCAGGTTTTTTAATGTAGGCTTTTGTGGAAAGGTTAAAAAGAAGAAATATCTTACCTGTTGTAGACAGCTCTTTGAAAGACTTCAGTTTGGGGAAAAATAAAAATAATAATTCCGACCAGATCAACGAGCTAACAGCAAATCTGAACAAAACAACTCCAGTCCCAAAAGTTTAAGAGTTCTTTGCGTGAATGCTTTATTAGAAACTTTTACATTGTCGTCAGTTTTGTATTGTATGATCATTGAACTTTTTGGACTTTTTGCAATCCTAAATAGCAGCTAGCTATAGCACCTAAAATGTAGCTTGGAGCTTCGTAGTATTTCTGCTGGAAGGACGAATGGAACAATGACGGAGATGTAAAGGTTTAAGATACAGCAAATCTCGAAGGAATGCATATCATCCCCTGCCTTCATGTCAGAGATTTCAGACCTTTTACTTCTACCTTCAGACACATCACCCTATCTGACACTCTTTTCACCTCTACTACATTCTTTGTCAACTCCTCCTTCAGGACCACCCCTGCTCCATTTCTCTTTCTATCCACACCATGGTAAAACAGTTTGAACCCTGCTCCAATGCTGCGAGCCTTGCTGCTCTTCCACTTGGTCTCTTGGACACATAAAACATCTACCTTCCTTCTCTGCATCATGTTACCTTTGTCTGCCATTGTCCCCACATTTACAGTTGCAACCTTCAGTCCTACAAAGTTAAAACTGTTTACGATACATTTTAAATTGAATGTGATCCCATGTAGTGATCTGTTAGTACTCAGGAGTATGTGTTGTGAAGGACTCTCGACTACTACTATGTCAAATTTAACTTCAATAGTTAACAAAAAAAAGATTGAGATTTTGGCTTTGCTAGTCAGCTGGCTCTGGCAACAGTGAGCTGATTCCACAAGTTATTCAGTTGTGAATGTCTTTCCAGTGATTAAAAGTTTAATTAAAATCCATCCAGTGCATTCCATTCAGGAAATTCTTTTGCTAACACTACAAATAAAATAACACAAAAGGAAAAAACAATAATGTTGCTTTTGGCAGCGGGTGAAAATAACGTATCTCCATGAAAAATTTGCGACTGGACTTGTTTTGAAGCAGTATCCCCCCGATCGGGTCGTGACCACAGTCGGACTAGCCATCAGCTCATCAGTCTGGTCAGAATTTATCTGAGGTCCTTCAGTGAATGCTCTACAGCAGGTAAGATATTAACTGCTCAAACCCTCTCCATGTCAAACTCTGTTACATAAAAGGGGCAAAATTAAAAACTTGGTTCAAACTAAGGGCCAGTTTCAAACAACGCATTCATTCAAGTCAGAAACCAGACGTCTTTTCTTTGCTACAAGTCCCTCAACAAGAGTTTGATCTGTCTCATTTGACGTTCTCTGTTACTCTTTTCCACATAAAACAAAAAAAAAATCAAATAATTCATGTTCAAAGTTGGCCAAGTTCAGTTTTTAAGGAAAATAAGAGGCGATGAAATATCTTCATTAAAAACATCATCATGGCGGCCAGATAAGATGTTTACAAGGGCCGTGTTTGTGTTTGACGCGTAATTTAATAACTCCTTTAACCTTTTGGGTTCATGTTCCACCGGCAGCTTCCTGACGGGCGGCAGGTGAATGTGGGCGGGGAACGTTTTGGGGCCCCTGAAGCTCTTTTCCAGCCTCATCTCATCAACGTGGAGGGAGTCGGCGTGGCTGAGCTGCTGTTCAACACCATCCAGGCTGCGGACATCGACCTCAGGTCCGAGTCTCCTCCCCGCTGTCTTTGACAAACGCTGGTGTCTTTCTGACACGTCGCGTCTCCTCCGTGTTCTCCTGAGCAGGGCGGACTTCTACAAGCACATCGTTCTGTCGGGCGGGACCACCATGTACCCCGGCCTCCCATCCAGACTAGAGAGAGAGATCAAGCAGCTCTACCTGGAGAGGGTTCTGAACGGAGACACGGAGAAACTATCCGTAAGAACCTGAAAAATGAATCATGCAATAATGTTAATATTAAAATGAAATTTTTAACGCATCTGATGTTTTCAAGTCAAAAGTTTAAGGGAAAAAACTTTGTAGATTTTGGCTCAGTGTTTTTTTTTTTAATGATGGCTCCAAAGGCATGAATGACTTCCTGGTTCAATCATTTACAGTTTGTTTTATTATCGCCCACTGTCTATAATTGTGCTTTTTTGGTGCCTGTTCATTAGTATGTCTGTTAGCAAAATATCTAAAGTTCCACTGGATAGATTTTAAAGAAACTGTCAGAAATTAGTCACAGGATGAGCATCTACAAATGATTTACTTTTGGAATCAACCTGATTCAAGATGGCCACAGCAGCTAATCAACTTTAGCAAACACAGAACTGTCTATAGCTGAGTCAATTTTACTGACACCGAGCTAAATTTTAGTGTGGTAGTAGCTGAGAGTGATATACAACAAATACTTCAAGCACTGATTATGCAACATTTTTGCTTAACATTTCATCGTTAACTATTGAAGTCAACACTGTTTGTCTGTCTGTTAGCAAAACATCTAAAGAGATACTGGATAGATTTGAATGAAACTCTCAGAAAGTAATCACTGGGTGTACAGTTACAACTGTTCAACTTTTGGATTCAGCCTGATTCAAGATGGCCACCACAGCTGACTGAACTTAGAATACACTTAAATGGATTTAACTCAGTCAGTTTTAGAGATATGGAGCTAAAGTTTGGTGTGGTAGTAGCTGAGGATCAGCCACAATATATACTTTGAATGCTATCAGCTCATGCAAGTTTTTATAGCGTTTTTAGGCTCGATGATAACGGCTAAAGCTCTGCCGTTTCTCAACATGAGATGAACTTAATCTAAAGGGAGCAGGTGATAAGACATTCATTCACAGAATACTAGGCTCAAAGTGTATTAATAACACTAGAAAAGTCAATCCAGTTTTAAAATATGCGTTTGTCATAATTAGTGTATAAAAGCATCACTGTAATGATAAGACAACTTTTCCAAATCTGTATTTCTCTGCAGCATCTTTTCAAACCAGAGATGCTGGAAAGGCTTAAAAAACAAGAAAATGCATGTGATCACTTTTCTTCACTTGACTCCTCTCCTCTGCAGAAGTTCAAGATTCGAATCGAGGATCCTCCGCGGCGTAAACACATGGTGTTCCTGGGGGGCGCGGTGCTGGCCAACATCATGAAGGACAAGGACTCCTTCTGGCTGAGCAGACAGGAGTACCAGGAGAAAGGTCTGGGAGTCCTGCAGAAGCTGGGAGGTGGAATCAGATGAAACAAAACCAGGAGCAAGAAGAAAACAAAAAAAAGGCTTCGAGTTTACTCCGCTTTTCATGACAGCTCCGCCCCTTTTATGGCCCCGCCTCCTAAAACATCTCTTCCATTGGCTTTTCTTCTTTGTTTCCAATAAAATTAACTTCTGAAAACTAGCAGATTTTTTTTTTTTTATTATTATTTAAAATCTCCAAAATGTTAGATTTCTGTCTGAGCTTTTACAGAGTGGAACATTTGTTGTAATATTCACCTGACACCTCAGAGCCTGAAGAAAGAGAAAAATGATCGAATATTTTAAAGTCAGATTCTTCAGAAAGTTCAACAACTTATATCTTATTCCAGCAGAAATATTGCGACATTCCTGCAAAAATCAAATGTGTCTGAAGTGCTACAGCTAGCTGCTGCTGATATTTGTACTTAAAAATACTTTGTCTTGTACAAAAATAACCGCGTAAAGCTAAACTAATGGCAATGGAAAGTTGGGGGCCACTTCCTACTAGGGCCTCTATACTACAAAAGGATTTGTTAATGCTTTATTAATATGTTATTCATAAAATTGTGAAAACTAGAAAGCATTAATAATCATTAATCAAACAGTATTCAAATATTGATGCTGGCTCACTATTTGTGAAGATCAAGTGCAGAACTTTCATTTATTTATTCATAATTTAGATATTAAGTGTTGTGTGTTTGCAAATAAAAAAGAGAGTTGAGCAACTGGCAACAAATTACATTTACATGAAACAATAAATAAATACAGCACTTGACCAATAGTGAGCTAGCTTCAATGTTTAAACAGTGTTTTATATATATATATATATATATATATATATATATATGTAGTGGACTAGGCCTACGTCGAAACTAAGTCTAAGGTCAAAACTCTTGGCCTTTAGAACCTTGTGGGACAGAAGCTGTCATTTCATGTATTTGACTCCATAAATACAGGTTCACCCATCCTGAGACTTTCTTTCTTGAAGATTCAAGTGAAAAGAACACTCTCTTTTTATTATCATTACTATCTTACAAATGTTGATAATCAAAGTGTCTTAGTTCAAACCATTTTAGATGTTGCAGTGAACTAATCAATTTTATTAACTGAGTAATGATTTTATTCTCATGTTAAAAGCTGTGCAGAGTAATTATGCATTTTTCTGATTTCTGCTTTTGAATGAGCAAGTGTGTGCGTTTACAAGGTTACAGTCAAACGAAAAACAAGTTGTTATGTTAAAACTGTCATGTTTTAGAATCCTCTCAGACGTAAATAGAGATGTTTTGCACCTGTTTCTTAAGGCACGCCAAAACAGAACCCTCTCGGTCTGTGAGAACATTTCTGAGCTGTCTCATAACAATTCTCGCTGTCTCTAACCTCTTACGTCACAAAAACACACCCCTTCTGGTCGTTTCTGACCAATGAAAAATCCCAAAAGTGAACCGGGAAAGAGTCTTTAAAATGTCAGTACTTCCTGGTCTACACAGACTCTACGAACTCACAGGGACACGGAGAGACACACAGGTACTCAGAGTTGGAGAGTTGTCAGACTTCTAGAGTTCTGGAGTTCTGATGGAGTGCTGTTGGAGTTCCTGACATGACAACGAAGCTCTTCCGAGTTCCATGGGATTATAACATTTTCCACTGAGGTGAGCTGTGGCTGACAGAACCTCGCAGCTACTCCGGACGAGTAACAGCATCCTACGGAGACGCTGAAAGGGTGCGTTAAACGGAATCTCGCCTGAGACATCTCCAGGTAAAAGAGTCGTTTTCACCACCTAAGTGTACTGTGAGGAAAAGCTGAAGAAAGCCCGGAGAGTGCCGTTCTGTTCAACACTCTACCTCAAACACCATCTTTCTCCCCTTTAAACTTCATCTTTCATCTTAAACTTTTCTATCAAGTAGAAATTCTCCCAGATATTTAGAAATGTCTGTGTAAAGTGCTTACCCACATTCATGTGGGTAAAAGATCATAGTTGTACAGTTATAAATGTCTGTTGGTGCAGCAACGGAAAAATCATGGCCGTATGATTTTTCCTGATTGATTGCTTTGTTGTTATTTTCATAATTTGCCAAATTAATGTAAATGTTTGATGTTAAATTTGATTCTGTAAATAAATGACCGCATTCATTTTGATGGGTCAAATTTAAATGACGTCTCACTTTGCATTTCCTTAAATTCAGTGCACGTTTTATTCAGTCCAGAAAAATGAGGAACTCGCGTTAAATGATGAATACATCCCAGCATCTGTTCATCTACAATTGGTGGCCCGTACGGGGACGTCACGTGCTCATAAATGGACTGTAACTAGTGTGCTAATTGATTTTCATGTTGGCATGTGTTGTATAATAACAGTTGAAACCGTGCGTCTTTACGCAGCCGGAGCTGCGCGCTTGGAGCTGCACCGCCTGAAGCGAAATGCTGCATGTTTTTAAGCGTGTTGGTCTGTGATGCTCAGAAAGCTCACAGAGAAGCTGAAATTGAGTCACAAGTCTTTATAAAGCTGAATTGTACGTCTGTGTGTGTAACTTAAGCTGGCTTTGAGCTGTGGAAACGCTTCATTCTGTTTAAACTGTGTTCCGGACGCTTCTGGTCCGCTTCGGTTCTGTGGTTCCGACTCGGTTCTGGAGCTTCGAACGAGTTGTTTTAAATAGCTAGAAAGACGTTTTGTCACGGAGCGCCGTTCTCTGTGCAGCTCAGGGGGTTGTTTCGTTACAATTTTTAACAGAAAAAGTGCATTTTGATGGTTTAAAAGACGAAAAAGTGACGAACTATTTTACGCTAATCTAACTTGCTAGCTGGGGAATACGCTTCGTGGTTGGTTGTGTGCTGCTTTGGAAAGCTCTGATTTGCTGAGAAAGGTTGACTGACGTCACCTCCCCTCACCCCTACGCTGCGTCATTGGTTGAGAAAGACCGTGTGTAACGTTCTGATTGGATGAGGGAAGTGTCAGTCACGCCACCCGGAAATGAAATTCGTTTTCATAGGGAATAAAATCTGCTTTTTAACGCTGGAAAGCGCATTAAAGCTGTGTTCTGAAACGCTGTTTACATTCTTCGAAACATATTCGCTGAAAGTTCGCCACGTTTGAGTTTAAAGACCGTCATAAAATGATGCTTTTGAACTACGCTAGCGATGCTAAATTTTAGGCTAACAAGCTAATGACCGGGTGGAGGACGTGTCACGTCACTTCCCCCAAGTCGGAAATGAGCTTTACCGTGCTTAAATTCGCTAAATACGGCTGCGATTTTGTTCCACAAAATTCATGTTTCATGATATAAGGTCTGATTGGAAAAATTTTGCCACGTTTGTGTAAAAAATCCGTTCAGAAGTGTTGGTTTTCACCGAAGCAAGCCGATGCTAATTTTAGCTAACAAGCTAACGACCGGACGCCACAGGAAGTTATGGCACCCCTAGTGGACGACACAAACAGTGTCTGAGTTAAAATAGTTGAGGATCTGCTGACATCTTGTGGAGAAGACGTGGGATCACAGGTTTTCACTTCGTTTTTAGGTGAAGAGTGACATTAAACGTTTTTATTTTCCTGAAAGGCAATTTTTGGGTTAAAAAACTTCCTCAAAGCTGAATAAACACTGTTATCTTGCATTTTAAAAGTTATGAAGGTATTTTTGCTGAGAGCTTTTGCCAAACAAATTTTTATTCACTGGTAAATCCTTGAGAAACGGGTACATAATAAAAATTTAGAAACTTTTTAATAAGATACAGTTACAAATATTCACAGAGTTGAATAGTTTACTCATTTTGCTAGAAGATAACGCACGTTTAATTGATAAATCACTAAATAAGAGTAAAGCTTATCAGGAAAAAGAGATTTTCTGATTTTATTTTACCACCTAAACATTTACATCTACTATTTAATTTCTAAATAGCAGATAATGGCGGACGAAGAGGTAAACACTGACCCCTTACAATCCGAGGATGTGGTCCAGACAGCCTTACACATTTTAACAAATCCAATTCTTGGCAAAACATTGGAGGAATTGCATGACCTTGATGACGATCAAAGACATGAGGAGCTGCAGAGTTTATCAAAAGCAGCTACAGTGAAGGAGGACGCAAAATCAAGCCGCGTACGGTTAGCAAAAATCTCTCTGCTTCTGAAGGCGGAATTAGACCGTTTGGTAGTGGAAAAGGGCGTGCTTTTCAACGGATATAAGTCTGAAAAAGAGAGGTGTGACGAATTGATGAGTGAATCTGAGGCGCTGCACCAACTCCTTGAGGCTGCTGAAGACCTCTCAAAGAAAAAGCTGTCAGAACAGGCTCAATCATATGAGGAGAAGTGTGCCGAGCTGATAAGTGAATCTGAGTTGCTGAAACAAAAGATTCAAACTGATAAGGACCTCTCAAAGAGAGAGCTGTCAGAACAGACTCGATCATATGGGGAGAAGATTGCGGATAAGGAACGAGCGTACCAAGACGCGTGTGCAGATAACAATGAGTTACAAGCACGGTTGAAAACCGCTTTAAGGGAGCTGGCAGATTGCAAGGCAGAAAAGGGGTTAATAACCCGGAGTTGGCTGAGTTTACAACATGAAAATCAGTCAACAAATGAGCGTCTGGCAGCTTGTGAGGAGAAGTTAGCTACAGCTACAGAATGGATTTCTGTAATGGAGCAAGCTGATCTGAGAATCGAACAGGGTCAGCTACAACCGCCCCAGACAGATGCTGTTGCACCTCCTCCCCTTAGCCCCGTTTCAACACCCCCAACCCGGGGGATAAGGACGGGTCTGCACCCACCTGCACCTCTTCCTCCTGACGCCAGGCAGTCAACTCCACCCCCATCTCAGGTGGGGTTCGACCTGCACCGGTATGCACCTCCTCCTCCTGACGCCAGGCAGTCAACTCCACCCCCATCTCGGAGGGTGGGGACAGACCTGCACCAATATGCACCTCCTCCTACCAACCCTTATCAGCCACCCCCACCCCCACCATGGGCAGTAGGGGCAGGACTTGATCAGTCTGCACCACCAGTCACACAAGTTAGACCGGTGATACGGTCTCCTTCAATGGATGACTTGCAGAAAATCTCAAAATATGTGCAACGCTTCGTTCCCGGCCCTATGGGGTCCGCAGGAACAAAAGCGTATCTCAAAG